AACACGGAGCGTCCCATCAGGAAAAAGGCCTCAAAAGGGAAAATGAAAAGAGGTGTCTGGTCTCCCCCTGCAAATATGGGAAGCCAAAATGTTGCTAGAGCAAAAAAAACCCCGAATCCAAGAATTTAGACAGTCTCCTGGTATTCCTTTAAGTATTTGAAGGCATTAACCTACAGCAATGAGGCTTTGGAAGGGGCATTAACCTACAGCAATGAGGCTTTGGAAGATGAATCAGACTGCTTGCAGCTCATTAGGAAGTGTTTATAGTAAGGCAGGGAAAGAAAACTCCCAGATTCCTACAATCCTTTATAAATACATTACCTTATAAGTCAGTGGCTTGTGAGCATCTGTATCTAAACTGCAGAAAAACTGTCTGACTGTGTGAATGAGGTGAAGCATTTTTAGTGCCTGAGATAGGGAGCCAGATCCAGCAGCTGTGGAGAAAAGCTCAGCACCTACCCTAGCATCAGATCTCCTGGGGTAGTCCTGGCCTACGGGGATAAGGTAATTTTTAGGGTGGAATTTAGAGGAATTAATAGGAAGTCGGTGCCCCGACTCTTCTGAGCTTTCAGCCTTACCAGTCCTTAGCTTTACTGTAGCATCACATAAACATACAGCCTTTCTCTACCAGCCTACCACTGTCAACTCTCAAGGCAAACGTCAGTCTCTACGTTTATGTGCTTGTCGGAGAGGAGCAGCCGAGCTTCATGGGCGTTGCTGGACATCCCAGCGCTCAGGTCCTGCAGACCTCGATGGTCATCCTTGGGGCACGCCGCGCTTGCAGAGGATGCTGCGAGTATCGGGTCCCCGGCCGACAGTGTGCCCAGGAGCAGAAGCAGGCACGCATAATCGAAGGAGGGGGATGGAAACCCCCCCAGGGACAGGTTTGGATGCAAGGAAGTGTGGCATGACATGCGAGAGTGGCAGGAAAGCGAAGGGTCTGTGTACAGCTAAGACTTGACCCGTATGCTAAAAGATGGATGGGCTTCAGCTAACAAGGGAGCAAACACACCAGGATGGAGTAAGCAGAGCGTACTGCCATGTGCAGGTGGGGAAAGAAACAAGTTACCTGCTTCTGGCCAGCTGCTGTCTGAGGGCTGTAATCCACTGGAGAAGCTGCAGGGCTGACTTGAGAGTCTGAGGGAAACCCCGTGAGAGCTGGAGCCGCGCTGCACAGATCGCAGCTGCCGGGTGAGCCTGTTGCTGGCAGCTCTGGTAGCGCTGAAATAAAGCAATGAACTGCTGATCCCCAAAAGTGCTTCATTTATTGCCTCCTGTTTGGGATTGACGAATCTCTGGTGCCCTCTGTTGTTTCTCTCGCATCAGATCAATGCTTTGCCATAAATTTTTCCACCCAGCCTGCGCTTCTCCCTGCCTCACATGAACACAGAATTAAAATTTAATAGTTTCAGTTGTGGGAAAACAGATCATTTCTAGAACAAAACCCATAATGGTTGCAAATTGCCATTCTGGCAGCAAAAGCATGCCCTAAGCACACCAGACTGCGCGGTATTGGGTGCTGCCGCAGGGCACGAAGGCGGCGCGGGGCCCAGCGGCCTTTCTGGGCAGGCACGCTGTGTTGTGCACCCCCGAGCAGAACAGGCCAGCCCGGGGATAGAAAAAAGCATGTTTCTCTTTGGCCTCTTTGCAAGATGGATAGTGAGGGCAGCAGGTGCGATGGGTCTGCTTGTCTTCCGCATAATGGCTGGGTACATCTGTGGCCTCTCGCTGATGTCGTCGCGGAGAAGCTTACGGCTGCCAACCAGGGATGCGCAACAGGGAGCAGCGGTGGGGGAGGGGGCTGCAGCCAGAGGCGAGATAGTCAGCGCCTGTGAAAACCTGCTTAATAAGAAGCCAGTGTCCCCAGGGTAATTTTATAGTCACTTTGATGGCTTTTGTTGTTGATTTCTCTGTCTCTGAAGGCTTCCACATGCAGTGATCGCAGTCCTTTCAATGCCAGTTAATTTAAGGAGGTTAGCACCAGTCTGCATGGATGTTCGGAGACAGGTTCAGGGAGAGCCTGCCAACAGTCAACTTGGCCCAGCCAGCACCCTGCCCTGTGCACAGCATAGCTCCAGCTTCAGTGACTCAGGCTGTCTTTATTGATTGCTGGCTCATGAAACAAACGCATTTCACCTATGAAAATGTTTGGTGCGTTAATGTGGGCAGGCTGTGGCGATAGATACCCTGACCTGGAGCTGCCACTGGGAGTAGGAAATTGGGGACCCAGCCTTGTGCCACAACATAAACCCAGGCAACAACCATGCCCCAGCTAGCAGGAATCCAGAAAGGTGGAAGGAGGACCCTTCCTCACATCCCACAGGTGGGAGCAAACAGCTTTCAGGGGCAGGCCCTCCTCACATCCCACAGGTGGGAGCAAACAGCTTTCAAGGGCAGCTGCTATAAGAAGGCGCCTGCAGGCTGAGGAGCTCAGTAGGGTGGAAGCTGTGTGAAAGTACCAGCTTTGCAAGAGGGCTGCTGCTGTGGGGGGGCTGTAGGTGACACCTGGGGATTGTGTGTGTGTCAATGCGGCCGCTGGGTGTGTGACCTGGGGTGCCTTGGGGCAAGGAGCTGGAGGGCTGTGTTTAGCGCATGCTTGGCCTGTCAGGTGAGATTGTGGGAAATATGGTGTTCCTGGATCTGGTGAAAAGAAAGACTCATGGGGTGGGCAACATGGCCTGCTGCTGTGTGCATGTGGTTGGCAGATGAGGCAGCCTGCAAAGAGGGTGTTTCTCAGTCTGCATCCTGTAGTGCTCTGGCTCAAGATGAGGCCTTAAACACCTGATGGTGGGAGACTAAGTCTCTAGAGCTGCTGCTGTTTCTGAGACTTTTCCAGGAAGTGTTGAACTGCTGAGAGCCCTCTCCTGTGTACTTGCCCTCACAAAAGAGGGCAGTGGCAGCACAAGGGGTTTTTGGCCTTGGATGTCTCTGAGCTCTGGGGCTGGCACCCTCAGCCTCTAAATGTAAGCCAAGCCATAAGCTACTTGTGCAAACTTGGTGGTGTCATCTGGGCTCTGTAAATGCTCTCTCGGGTGCTGCTTCAGACCTAGGCTTTCTGCGCTACCTTAAAACCTTGTTGGCCCTTGGGGTCGTTGTGACGATGCGTGCTTGAACAGGTCTCTTAGTGACCTCTCTGAGTGAAGAAGGCTCTGCTACCCCTCCTGGAGGCAGCCCTTCCTATGCAGGCACCTGAGCTATCGCAGCATCGACAGACCTTGCCCAAATGCTGTGGGGACTCCACAGGGTTTATCCAAACTCTTCTGAGGTCAGAAAACAGTTTTACCTTGAGCTAATCCTTTTGTTCCAAAGAGGGTTTTGGGATACGGTGTTCTTGGTTCCTGGGTGCTGCCCAGCAGGAGAAGCATTGTGGGGTGGGATGCTCTGCTGTGAGAGCCCTCTGCTCTCCTGAGTCTTTCAGATGCCAGCTCCGGAGCAGAGCCAGTGGTCCAGACCTGGAGCCAATTGTTTGGGGGCAATCTGAGGAGTGGGGCGTGGTCTGCCCAGTTACTGGAAATGCTGGTGAAGAAGCCTGTGCCTCAACCGGAACAGAGCTTGTCTCCAACAGCGTATTAAAGACTAGAGGCAGTATTCTGCATATGCAGGTATACCTGATCAAAGTTTTCCTTCACACAACTGTTCTTGAAATATATTTAAATACTGTATTTCATTCTTACAGGCTTCTAATGTTTGAAACAAGTGTCTTCTGTTGTATCACTGTATCTTTTTGTGGACACGCACCTAGATAGTAACTGGGCCTCTCACATGCTTCCTCTCCTGATGGCAAGGTATGTTTGTTTGCTTGCTGTGCTCCAAAGTAATGAAAATATTGTAAGTAATGACTTATTCCTTCCTGTTTCCTGTCACCAAGGTTTGTTACAGGAAAGGGGGTAAACCTCTTCATATTCTGCCCTCTAAGGAGCCAGTATTTAATGAAGGCTCTGAAAATCTTCTTGAGTCTGCTCCTCTGTGGCACTGGAGAAGCCTTGCTCTCATCTCAGAGGTGTTGCTTCACGTCTATCTGTCCAGCTAACTTGAAGGGCAAGAGCAGTCAGAAGAGACTCGGCTGTTTTGTAGGCTGACGTACGTAGATGCTGGTACCCCGTAGATGGGTACGTGTGAAACCCTCCCCATCGCATGCCTCCGCCCCAAAGAAGATGATAAAAGGAAGCTGAGTTAGTTTAATAATGCAAACAATTTGCAATACACAATGAGGTAAAACATGGTAAACTCTCATATACGTGTTGACAATAAGAATCAGTTGACTGTGGTTACAAAATTAAATAAAACAGGGAGCTATACCCAAGTCTACTGTCTTCCTATAGGACTAAAAGGTATGTGGAGGGGAAGGGAGGCATGTTAACAAACAGCGATTATATTCCTGCTTTAAATATCTCTATGTAACAACTCACTTGTTTAATAGAAATACAGTTTAGAACGTACAGTTAGTAATGATGTACCCAACAAAGATCTCCCTGGAGAGAGAGAGAAATAGTTATCCCAATGACATTGAAGCTATATCTTCTCTTGACATTGCAAAGTGGATGTCTGTTCCTTCTTATCTATCTTTAGCAACTGTGTATCTGAGAGGTGCGCATTTGATCCGTTTTTGTCAGCGCTGGGTTTGGATAGAGGAAGGGCCTCTTGGAATTCCTTGGTCACAAAATAATAGCAAATGCTATCCAGGCAGCAGTTAGATGTGGCCACGCACCTCGTCACAGAAGACAAGTTCCTCATGACCTGAATCAGGGAACAGGTTACTCCAATACTCTCCATTATGAACCTGGTAAGTAGCCCAAGGTAGGCTGGGAGAAAACATATTAAAAATACAGTCATATTTGTATAAATGTAAACAGCTTTGTGGATTAATTTCTCCTCCAGTGAATTTGTGTTCAGTCGTCTCTTCAGGTTCCTGATGACTTCAATGGAACAAAAGGTCAAAGTTGCTAATGGAAGAGTAAAAACAAAGAAAAGTGAAAGCAGAGTTAAAAGAGTTGGTGTGGTCGTATCCCTTTGAAAGCAGAAAGTGGCCTGTCTCTGCTGAAGTTGTAGGGTCACGCTGATTATCACAGAGACCCAAACAAGTCCACAGAGGAGTGCAGCCTTTGACGGAGACCTGAAGGCCTTAGATTTCAGGGGGTGCTTTATGGCAATGTATCGATCGAGAGAGATAAATGAAATGATGTAGATGCTCACTACCATGTTGATAATATACATTGCCTCTGTGAACTGGCAGAGTTCATCTCGGACTGACTTATTCCAGAGTAAATAAGCCATGAATGGCAAGGTGCAGATGACGGAGCAATCTGCAAAAACTAAATTGATGACATACACCCTGGTTTCTGTCCACTTCTTTATTTTGTAGAAGAACACCCACAGGGCAAGGGCATTAAATATTGCTCCAAAGAAGAAAATGAGGATATAAAGAGTGAATTCAAGGAGACGAATGTGGTGGTAGAGTTCCGAACTTGTGACGTTGCAGTCGCTAGATGCGTTTGTTGTCATGGTGTGCAGATGTTGTATGAAGTTCTGTTCCCTGAAATGGGAAAAGACATGGTAAGACTTTCCTCCTACCTTTCAATAGATGCAGGACTCCTTATCAAAAGGTATGTAAATGAAACTTGGCTGTTACAAATGTGAACGTGCCTCTACAGAGATGGCTGGCTTTCTCAGTCAGCCTGTAATTGGGATGCATCCGTGTGTCAGAAGTCTAAACTGAGTTTGTTGTAAATATTTTAGGATATCCTAGCAATAGTACATAGCAGGTACTATTAAACAGAGGAGCCTTGAATGGAGAGGCAGGGGAATAGTGCTTGTGGAAGTGCTTCCTGTGCTACGGTCCCCAAAGATAGCCCAAAGAAGGGCTATCTTCTGGCAATGTGAACACTAATTCCTTAAGTCAATCTCTGCCAGCTAGGTAAAACGAACTCAGTTTTGATCCAGGCAAGAATTTCAGTGAATAAAAGCCCAGCACAATCAATGAGCAAGCGCTCTAATGCTAGTGATGGCTTGGGAGATATGGGAGTAGGCCCATGAAGGGCTGCGAGGCCATAATAGATGCCACTTGGCAGATATTCTGATGCTGACCCTAGCCAGGCATATTGGAGTCTCTGGAATGTGTTGGTGGACCTGCTCCAAGCTGAGGAAAACGGATCTGAGCCTGATTTCCTGCAGCCTGCTAAAAATCCGAAGTAAGGATGTGAATGAGAGGGGTACAGCTCTACACTTTTTTAGGCCCGCTAATCACCTTTTAGGACAGAGTAAAAGCCTGCAACTGTAAAGCAGAAAGACATCTCTGATAAAGAGAAGACCTAAGCGAAACAAGAGCTGAAGCTGTCTAAGGGCTGCTCTAGATGGTTCCGGCTGAAGGTAGGCATCCTGCCACCCTGTGAAGTGGGTACTGAGCCTCTGTGGTACTGGCTACTAGGTGTTTCACAAGAGTATTCACTGTGCAAAGGGTAAGAGCTTATGGGCTATTTAAAACCAGCCTTTAAAAGGCTACATCCTGTGGAAAGTAGCTGTATGTGATATGCGTGTAGGAGAGAACTATCTGCGGTGATGATTCTGTGCATGTATCACTGAATGTTTAGAATTTCATAAGTTTTTAATTGGGAATAAGTTATTTATTACTGTAACACAGTGACATGGTGAAGGATCTAGTAAAACCCTACAGCTTTCAGAAATGTAGAGGGGTCACCATACCAGAACACACTTAGTGAAGCACTTATCTGTGTGTTTGTTAAGGCAGATCTGGTAGTCAGAAGATGAATGAACTACATAAGAAATAAGACTTCTGTTCTAAAGCAACTGATGAACATAAGTTTCGTTTATGGGGGAGGGTGTGCGGAAGGCAAGTGTCTTGGGCACTAAGATCAGTAACGCAGCTGCTGCGTAGAGCCCTTCTCTGGATCTCGCTTGCGCGGGACTAGCCTTTCTTGGCAAAGGTTTACTGCTTGCCTCCTGTGAGGAAGCTGCTATCACCTGGACCTCCGGTACAGGAAAACCTCAGAAGTGACAGTAAGTGGCAGCAGGGAAATCCCTTCATCAAGGGGTGGGGTTGCCATGTCATGTTAGGCTCCCTAATTGGATGTAGCGCAGATGTCTGCTGGTGAGGTGGCTTTGTCAGCCTCTGCTCCGCAATGCCAGCAGCACCCTTGATGTGCAAGTATGAGGCAGGCAAAGCGTGCCAGTGCACTCAGCAGTGCAAAACAGCTCTTGGCTCTGGCTGATGCCAGCTTGGGGTCTGGAGGCATGGCCCAAATCCGATTTCGTAGTATCAGTGATCTGGCTGGTGGTGGGGCTCTGCCTGCATCTCAGGGCTTGCAAGTGCTTCAGGATACCAGGCAGATCAAAGATTGGGAGAGAGGCACTGAGGCCACACTGCAAATAGGAGATGGCTGAGCCCTAAATGTCTTCAAAGATATGCTGTTTGATAAGCTAGCGTGTCCTGTGGCTGCTGCAAATGCTGAAGGTGGGGCAGATGAGATGGCTGCAGAGGGGCTAGACAGCAAAGTTACAAGTATGACAAAAGGATGGGAGCTCTCTGTAAAAACCAGCGTCTCGGAGCTTCTGAAGGGCAAGGTCCCCAGTACTGTGGAGCATGTCCTTGACTCTGCCATAGACTGAGGTAAGCTGATGAGTGGCTGTTTCCCACCATGGGAAGCTGAAGACTGCTGGCTGGCTAGGAAGGTCAGGGCTACGCTTATTTTCCTCCAGCAAGTTTAAATGCAGCAGGATCCTTCCGGACCTTTAAAAGGGAGCTTGGAGGAAGAAAATTGAGATGGAGGCTGAAGAGACAGCTTCGCACTATAGCGTCATGGTAGTGAATAACCAGTGTTTTTCCCAGCAGGATGGCCTCGGGAATATGACATCCCACATCTGCACCCACGTAAAGGGAGGTATGTGCAGCACTGCGTCAAAGGGAGAGCTTTGCACGTAAAATCCCCTTTCCTCCTTGGAGCGGGGGGTTCCTCAGAGGTGAGCGGGTACCAGAGGAGCAAAGGGGGAATGTGATGGATGAAACGGCCAAGGACAGCACAGGAGCCAACATGTTTTGCTGGGGTGAGTCAGGGAAGGGACCTGGAGCCGAGTAAAGGGAGAGGAAGATGCAACACGGGAAAGGAAGGGAAGGACTGTGGTGTGTCATCTTCTGTGCTGCTGCCTTCATGGGAGAAGGGGATATAAGCTCAACTGCTTCAAACCCTCCCCTTCCAGGGCAGCATCATGAATTTGACCAACTTTCCTTATTAGCTGGCTCGGTAGTTGTCAGCAGAGACTTAAAATTTCTGCTTGGGCAGGGCAGTAATTCAGAGGGTGGTTGTTCCTTGCTCTGGCTAGGAGTGCACTAGCCTTACAGCTGATGGTCTGGACCTCAAGCTAAAATCTTTCCTCTCTGGTTAGGCTCCAGGTGGAACCACGAGGAAAGCATGTCTGGACACTGTGGCTTGATAAGCTATCCTTGCAGAAGGAGAACACCTAGGTGAGAGCTTAGCCAGAGCACTGAAATCAGGGTCTTCTATCTGCTTCCAGGTAGCATAAAGAAATCACTGGAAACTGCCTGATCTAACCTTCCTGCTGTTCACAGCCTTTAATGGCAAATGGCAACTCTCAAACAAAATATCCTAAAGCACAGCATTTTTCTATTCTGACTCTTATTCTTTCAGGCTTATCTATAACTGCATCTATTAATATTCAAGGGTTGGGCATGTGACTTCTACTAGTGATGGAAAAACATACTGAAATCCATAGCTTGCTCTCCAAGAATAACCCTGGAAATAAACCTTGACTGTGTAAGCTAACTCTAGTCAGACTGCAGGCATGGTGCAGCTAGCAAAAATGTTTGCAGTAGGCGAGAAGGGCTTTATTGTACTCTGAAAGTGTTTGTTTAACTTTCAATATTTCTGCTGCCTCCTCCCGAGACAGGAAAATTGGTCCCCTCTTCTCCCGTGCCCTTACCTCAGTGACTGACCAACTGGTTGTGAAAAGCCCCAATAGGCCCAAAAAAAGGGAGAAGGTAGAGCTGAAATGCAAGTCAAACTAAGGAAAACAGTATTGTAGTCACCCTGAATGCAGAGTTTCTTTGAAAGACAGTGAAAGGGGACAGTAAAGGTTAACTTGGACAAATACAGAACCTTTTGGAATGGCTCACTTCTCACCTTGGGGTTAACTTAGTTTCCAGTTCCCAGTTACTGTTAGAAAGTAATATGCTGTCGTCTTCTAGATAAGGGGTCTGGAGAATGCCTTGGAGTAAGAGCAAAGCTGAACAGTTCAGAGGTAACAATCTAATGAATGGATCTCGGTATCACTGATCCCACTCCCTTAAGGAAACGATATCTCTGAGCCTCATCTATCTCGTTCCAGGAGTCAGTGACAGGCAAGACATCCGTCCAAGCAGCGATCTGGTTAGCAAATGAGAATGAAACAAAAGTGAGGTTACCTGTTGGTTTAATGCCACAAAATCAGTAGTGGATCCGACTGAAGGCAGGGCATCTGGGGAATGTGTGGCCTCACATCCTCTACAGGAGGAGCAGGGGAATTTGACAGAGCTTTTGTGGCAAGTCAGCTGCAGGAGCTGTGCCCCTCCTTGACAGCTCACCAATAGTTGAAGCTTCCTTTTATAGCACCTCCTCCTCCTGTCAAGTTGGTCTGGGTCAGCACACTCTGATGTGCCCAAATACTGCAAATACTTTGCGATGAGATCTAGTGCCTCATCACTTGGCAAATTCTAAAACAGAGTGCTCCCTGGCTAGCAATAAAGTCAGATTGGAAATGCTGTGCTGGAAACTTAAGGTAGGCAAGGCTAGGAAGATGCAAGAGTTGTAATTGGATTACCCTGTGCAGATGGCAGGGGAGAAGGGCTAAGGCTGTAGGCGCAGGGGCCCTTCTGCTGGAGGCTAACGGAAACCTGAAGTGACACTCGTTTGTACGTTGCTGCATTGAGAGCAGCAGACGGAGGAGCAAGACAGGAAAGGTAGGCTCTCTGCAACCAGGCTAGCTTTCTGAGTGGAAGGTGAGTTGAAAAGCCATCCCTTCTCAGATGGAAATGGCAGCACCCAAATGGCCCAATAGTTTGGGTCAAGGCCCACCCAGACCCTGATGTTAGGCTTGGTGCCTGGGGCAGGGCTAGTAAGCAGGGGTGAAGCAAGAGAAGGCCACCATGGGGACAGCCACAGGCCAGTGCTTGGCCTTGGGGGCCTGCTCTCCTGCTGTTAGCGCACAGGTATAGCCAAAGCACCTCAGTGCCAGGCTGGCAGCTAGCGTCTGTGGATTATACCCTAGGCCCTTAAGTGTTACAAGGGCAGGAAAAGGGGTTGTGGGAGCTGTAAGCCCAAAGGAGGGATCAGTAGTGGGGTATTTAATTAGTATTCACTACTGGTGTGAAGTATGCAGTGGTGAACTGTCTAGCTGTCCATTTATCCATAGTACCTCAGCAACTGTAACACTTACCTATTCCAGTAACGCTAATGTTGGTTGTGCGCTCCTAAAACAACTTGTACCTCCCTGGCTCTTAGAGAATGTGAATGACGAGAAGCCTATGCCCGTCAAAGCTTTGGAGCAGATGCGTGAAGACAGCTGTGTGGTAAATAAAAGAGACGAGGCAAGATGCCATTGTGGACCAGATGGCCTTGGGCTGGAAGGCACCAGGGCAGCATCACACCGATGAAGCCCTGGAGTGCAGTTGTCTGGCAGAGCTGTGCTGTAGCTAGGTCTGAGAGGCTCTGACAAAGAGCCTGAGGAAGAACAACTCGCTTAAGTGTTATTGCAGAGCAGAACACCTCAGAGCCACCCTGTAACCACAAAGAGGTGCATGCTGCGCACAGTCCTGAGGTGGCATCCAGGAACCCAGAGCCTGAAAGTCTGTCACAGAAGATGAAGCATCAGTGCTGTGAGGTAGGAGCCACCTCAGAGGTCTGTACCCACATGCTGATAACAGCCTCAGATAACCTCTGTGCTTGTGAGTCCCTGCAGGGGAGGGTGGCAGGGAAGGGCTGTGACATGAAATACAGCAGTGGCTTTAGCTGCACCATGAAAGAGGGACCAGAGAAAGAAAAATGTAGTTTAAGACCAGAAAAGATGTGCATGTGGGAAGAGCTCTAAATGGAAAGAGCTGTGGGCGCTTTCTAGCTGTGATAATTGCACCTGCATTTCCCAAACCAAGGCTGATACTCAAAGCCCTTTTAGCCTGGGAGCCCAGGATGATGGCCTCCTTAACAGGATCATAAAACAGTTGTGGCTGGAGATCACCTAGTCCAACCCCCACAGATCAGAGCAGGGTCAGCTAGCGCATGTTGCTCAGGGCTGCATCCAGTCAGGTTTTGAGCATCTCTGAGAATGGAGCCTTCACAACCTCTCTGGGCAGCCTGACCCACTGTTTCAGCACCTGCACTGTGAACAGTGTGTGTGTGCGCACATGTGTAACTTCTCTTAGGTTTATGTGGCACTTCCTGTATTTCAAATTGTGCCCATTGCCTCTTGTTCTTTCACTGGCTGGCACCAAGCAGCATTTAGGTCTCCGCTTTACACCTTCCCACCAGCTATTTATACACATAGATAAGGTTCCCTGCTGAGACATCACTGTTCCAGGCTGACCAGTCCCAGGTCTCTCAGCTGCTTCTTGCTTGTAAGGGGGGGCCAAGCCCTTAATTACCTTCATGGGCGTTGATTGAACCTGCCTCAGTAAATCCATGTCACTTCTGTACTGAGGCACCCAGCACTGGGCACAGCACTCTAGATGGGGCCCACCAGTGCTGCGTAGAAGCTAAGAGCACCTTCAGTGACTTGCTGGTGACACTCCTCCTAATGCAGCCCAAGATGCTCGTGGCCTTGTCCACAAGGACACACTGATGGCTCATGTTCAAGTTGTTTTCCCACCAGGACTGCGCTGCCCCTCCCTCCCCCC